GATAATCCAGCAAATCCGCTTCCGCCTATGGATCCGATTCCTATCGTCAATCCGACAGATGTGACTTTTAATTCGCGCCGTCTGTTGGGCCTCGTCGGGCAAGCTCCTATTCCCCAAGGCTTCACTCAGCCCGATATGGTGATCAACTTGTTTCCGCTCGTCGAGAAGCTGATTCAGACAAACCAGTGAAGTCGTGGTTGATTTTCGATTTGAAGTCGTCAGCGAGATGCCCAGAAATGTACTGCTCTGGCTTAGTGACACATGAATTAGAGTCACCATACAATACAAATCAGCAGCTTCCGAGCAAAACCAGTATATATCAATAACAAAAAATTAAAACCGGTACTCACAAAAAAGTGGCCATGAGGTACTGCCATGAGTCACCACCATCCGCTCAATGACAGCCAACTTTAGATATAAGAGTCAGCATGAGTCACAGAGTCAGCATGAGTCACAGAGTCACCACTTTTTGCGTATTCGTACCGCCAGAATCAGAACTAGCGCTTGCGGACAGACTCTAGCCCAACTTCAGTGGGGACATAAATCAATGGGCTAACTTTGAAGCTGATAGCCCAAATATCCAAGACGATAGCAGACTCTCGTGTGGAAACAGTAATTATCATCTGCAAGGAAAACGCACGACTCGCATCGCAGCTTCGCGCGTATCTTTTTCGAGGTAAGAGCTGTATGTCACTGCGAGTGCAAATACAGCTCGCGAGCCGTAAGTTTTGACGCTGCGCAGGGGGCGAAGACTCTATAAGCAAGCCAAAAACAATGTAAATTGGCCAACCCATGGAGCAGAGAGGTATCTTAGCTGCCTAGCAGCCAGTAGTACTCGCATTTGCCACATATGTGGGAGCACTAATTGTCGTCTCACTTTTTCATTGATCTTATAATAAAGTCATGAAGGGCCAGACCCCCGCGCATGCTCGACCGACGTGGCTGATCTGCACCTACAGGAATCAGCGGGGTACTTTAGTAGCTCGTAGAGTTTGTAGTCAGCGTGAATTAGCACTATTAGAACCATCTAAGTTGGATGGAGCCCGGATGTCAACATCAACTCGTGAGGTCTTGATAGATTTTGAGGTTCTCTAATTGCGTACGACGCGAGATTCTCGAAAGCAGTGGAAGTGTACGGGTGAGGTCTTGATAGATTTTGAGGTTGTCTAATTGCGTACGACGCGAGATTCTCGAAAACAGTGGAAGTGTACGGGTGAATATATCGATGGATATTGCGATGAGGTTGTAACCGTAACTTAGAGGTTTGAGAAGTTTGATGTCGCAGAATATTGTAAATACATGCAATTTCGCCTTGCGGGTGTCTCCTATTGAAGCTGTGACGACACTCCCTGCTAATTTAGATGCGAATTTGACGCAGGCATAAAGCTGCAACGTTTTCGGCACAGAAACATGCTTTTTGTTGAGCTAATTAGCGAAGATTTTGCGAGCTAGTTTTGAAAGGCAGCAGCTGCAGTGAGCCACAGTATCAGGATGAGGCAGAAAGGAGCCGTCATATATCGCCATTTACCGAATGTACATTTAGTGAGACGTCTAGAGAGCGACTACGTGTTGCAGCTTCCTAAGCTGTGAGCGACATTCTAGAGCGCACTTTTCGCCAATAATTTAAAAACCTGACCACTGTCACTAGAATCAACAAGGTGATGACCGTCAGCGATCGATTGAGTGAACGGGGGGAGTATAGCGTTGGGATTCCCGCATCATCGTTGCTGCCAATTATGCCATTGCCAGGCCTCTTCGCGTGAGTGTAGGAGCCATAAGATAGCTGAGGTTAAAAATAGAAAGTTAAGCTGTGCGTACGAAGCCTCTATAATCGAATACAAAATTCTGCAGCTACAACTATAAACACTTTGTTGGTACTATGATTCATCGGCAAAATCCGAGTCTTGCTGCCAATGATTTTCTTCTAGTTGCCTTTAATTGGCATAAGTCAACAGTTCCTAGACATGGACCCATTCACAGAACTGCGCAAGCACGCAGGAGGTGCGCACCCGCAGAAAGCAAAACTCAATGTGGTATTGGGTGCTACAAGTGACGTCATTTATGAACGTCGCGCCAGTGGTGATCGTCAGACTCCTATCTCACCAACCGAGTACTTTGCTGCGCTGATGACGGCACTAGACGCCGCATCAGATTCCCATCGCCAGGAGGTTACGCAACTACTTTCGATGGTATTACCAGAGGTACCAGAGGCTGTGCTTCGATTAAAGTTTACCGCTGTGGCCAAATGCCTTACCACAGTTTTGCAAGAGGCGGGTGACGACGCTGCACTGCTGCGTTCGGCCAGTGCTTGTCTGGCCTTGGCTCTGCTTGCTCAAGAGCCTTCAACTACTGCATGGGGACACCCCGACCTGCTAAGAAGCTTTCAGCTACTCTTTACGCTGGCAATGGATTCACGACATAAGGTGCGCAAGGCTGGCCACAAGTGGACTATGGACATTCTAGAGCTGCACAGTGCCAAGAACTGCGACATCCTCTCCACACATATTGCCAGTTTTGCAGAAAACGTTTTTTCCAGTTGTAAAGTCGGAGGTCATGACGACCAAAGACTTGTGCTGCTTGTTGCCTTTCTTAAATCGGCACTACCGTTGCTTCAGCGTAAAGTCGTGGCTTCACTCGTTGTGACGCTCGCTCCATTCCTCGACGCTAGCTCAAAGACACTGCGTCTTGTAACGTATGAGGCCCTCGATGCGTTGAGTACAGCCCCAGAGGCACAGCTAGCTGCGGATACCCTTCAAAAGCTCGTGGTAGCTGTCCTTGACGCTCAAAGCAGTAGCGCTCTGGATAGTCAGGGAGGCTCCATAGCCGTTTATGCTGTGCGTATACCCTCTGAAGCACTTCGTCGTCTAGCTGCTGTGAATGGGGAGGCGACTCACGAGCTCTTACCGCGTGTTGTGGGTGCTATATGCTCTCATATTGCCACTGATAACGACCGTGTCCAGGGCCAGGCGACTCGCTCATTGCTGAGTGTACTAAAAGCTACATTGAACTCCGAGATGCTTGAGACTAAAGACGAAAATGTCGTACGCGTACTGGCTTCCCTTCAGAGTCTGACCTCGCTTCACTTTCAAAGTGCATGGGGCCACACTTTTCCGCTTCTTGCGGAACTATTTCGCTTTTACGGTAAAGCATGTCGTCCAGCGTTTGAGCCCATTATTTTAACTTGCTGCGAGCTTCACGAGGCGGCCGATCAGCTTCCGCAGCAGCAACAAAAAGGAAAGAGCGCTCAGGCGCTGTCTCAATTGTTCGCGTTGGCCGCTGGAGCTGCTGTAGAGGCCCTGGGTCCTCGTGCTTTCCTTGAAATTGTTCCTATCGACCATCCGACCGAGATTGTCAGTGAACAACGGGCGTGGCTTTTGCCGGTCTTTCGTGACGCGTTGCGTGCGGCTCAATGTAAAAGCGAGCTCAGTTTCTTTTCTGATGTTGTGCTGCCTATGGCCTGTGCGTGCGAGGCCCGTGCACGTGAGACCAGCATCACTCCGTTACAGGCTAAAAATTTTCAAACTCGAACCAGTCAGTTATGGAGTCTCTTCCCGAGTGTATGTGCCAGTGCTGTGGATATTGACACACATTTTAAAAAGATTGCCAAGGTCCTCGCGAGCGCCATGGCTGACAAGCGGTACCCGGATCTGCGTCTTGCAGTCTGCCAGGGTCTCCAGGTCCTCATGAAACGCACACGTGCTCTTCAGAATTCAATTGCACATCGCTATTACCGCGAGGCGCAAGATATTGAAGTAGAGAACGATGGAAACGAAGATGAAGAGGACAACGATGAGGCGGGACGACTGGACGAGGCAAAGTTGGCGCGTGATCGTGCTGCTTTGGCCAAATTTTCAGGACGTTATGTGCCGCTGCTACTCTCTTTCGCTGAAGATCTGGACCCGGAAAAAGACGCGGATCGAGCTCAAGTATTGCTCGATACACTTGAGGGTTTCTCCGCACTAGCTGATGCACAACTCATCGGCGCTTCTTTCAAATTGGTAATGCAGAAGCTGCTGAAGGCGACAACTGAAGCCAAGCGGGTGGAGGGCGATGGTGCTGGTATGAATTCGAAGCGTTCAAATAAGCTTCGACAAGTTTCACATGCGCAAATGGCTCTTGCGTTAGCTCTCTTGGCTCATGTCGACGACGCCAACGTGGCGCTCTTATACCGTGTAATCAAGCCGTACTTACTAGATGATTCCGATGCTTCTATGCAGAAGCGTTCGTACGCTGCGTTAGTAGCTATTTGCGACTCCCACCCAAAGTTCCTGTCCGAGGAGGTTCAACTTCAGGACATGACGCGTGCAATTTGCGAGTCACTGCTTACATGCTCGGTGCCTGCTAAGAAGATGCGCTTGCGGGTACTTGCTCACTTGATCCGCGCATTGCAGACTCAGCCTGCCGCTGATACATTGGCTGAGAAAGAGCTGGTTCCAAATCTTGTTGGAGAGATTATGCTTTGTGCAAAGGAAGCTAACGGAAAGACTCGTGAGGCTGCTTTTGAGCTTTTAGTGGCCATGGCCACGATGCTGCGTGCGCGTGACCCACAGAACGGAATCATGGAGTATATTCAAATGGTTTTAGGCGGTCTGGCTGCTCGCACACCTCACATGCGTAGCGCTGCTGTGATTTGCCTTAGCCGATTGGTATTTGAATTTGGTCGTGAGGATGCAGCCATAGCCCAAGCTATGCCGGCTTTACTGAAAACTGTGCTCATGTTGCTTCACGAAAAGGCTCGTGAAGTGATTAAAAGTGTTATTGGCTTCATGAAGCTGGGAATTGCTGTGTTACCAAAAGACCAACTTGAACAATTCCTTCCTGATATTATCAATGGTCTACTGATCTGGATCGGCGAGAGCAAGAACCGGTTTCGTGCAAAAACTCGCATTATTCTGATAAAGCTCTGTCGCAAGTTTGGCTACGAACACGTTGCCGCTTTGATGCCTGTGGAGGATCGCGCTCTGATCCGTCATATCAAGAAGACCAAGGAACGCGATGACAAGAAGAAGTCGGAGCTCTCGGTCAAGGCTGCAGAGCGCCGTGCCGCTAAGAAGAACCACGATAGTTTCGGGGAGTTTATGGCTGACTTGGACGATGAAAACGATGTTGAAACCGCGGTAATGCAAGTGTTTAAACGTAAAAGGGATCTTCACAAGAAGCACAAAGGCGGAAAGGTCATCCGTGAGGACGAAGACGATATAGTGGATTTTCTAGATGATAACGCTGCAGTAAAAAATGTCATTTCGGCACAAAGAGGCGGACTTGATGATGAGAGTTTTGAAGATTTTCAGACGAGCAAAGATGGACGTTTGATCATTCCTGGAGAAGACGACAACATGGATGGATTCAGCGGAAGTGATGATGAAAACAAGATAAAGCAGGATGTTGTATCTCAGCTTCAGCGCATGGGACTTCACCCAAATGGTAAAAACGTCAAGGGTGGCCGAACAAAGCGGAAAAGGGACGAGGACGGCTCAAATGGTCGAGAATACCGTGCAAAGAAGGCAGGTGGTGATATAAAGAAGAAGGGCAAGCTTGAGCCTTATGCTTATATTCCGCTGGACCCCAAACTCATGGCCAAGCGCAACAAGCGGGAGGCTGTGACGCGTTATGGCGGCAGTGTAGGCAAGAGGCGGGGCAAAAAATAAATTTCGCCTGTAGTATTGTAGGTGTTTTCCAGAAGCTACCTGTCAAATACAATATATTGGTAAATTTAAATAAATGGCTTTTTGGGCGAATTAATTATATTAGAAGCGTGAAAATACAATTTTTCATTTCGCAACATTCTCTTACAGAAAATCTCAAACGCGCTGCAGCCGGCAGTGGACGATCGTTCTCCCCCACACACTTCGTTAATCTTCTTTGATCGCCATGTCAGCTATGAAACTTAGCCGCGAGCAACAAAACGAACTCTTGTTTGTTGGGTTTAACCAGGACAGCGGTGCTGCGTGTTTAACTTGTCGCTTTTGCAAAACCTTCGCTCAATTTACATGCTCAAATAGGCTGCTTCGCGTGCGGCACTGACACGGGTTTCAAAATTTTTAATTGCGATCCGTTCAAAGAGACATTTCATCGAGGTCTGTGTGGTGCAGGAATGCTGTGACATATGTTATGGGCGGTCTTACTAAATAATTCATCTATGGAAGTGTAGACTTCACCAATGGTGGTATTGGCATTGTGGAGATGCTTTTTCGCTGTAATATTCTAGCCATTGTTGGTGGAGGACGCAATCCAAGATATCCTACTAATAAAGTACCGAATGACATCAATTTCTGATCAAGTTGGAATGCTTTTAAAATGTAACCCTTTGATCCACTAGGTTATGATCTGGGACGACCATCAGAGCCGAAATATCGGAGAACTCAGCTTTCGCAGCGAAGTGAAAGCTGTCAAGCTACGACGTGATCGGTACGCTGACTTGCTATATGAAAGATCGGTCTTGTTGTTTGCGTTTGATACGATAATGTTTCATGATAGTGTGGTCGTCGTGCTGCAAAACAAAATATACGTCTATAACTTCTGTGCGTTACTTGCACAGCTGTATTTAATATCAACTTATCTTTCCTGATTTTCAATCACATTGCAGCGGACCTGAAGCTTGTAGATCACATCGAAACACTTGCGAATCCGAAAGGTTTGTGCGCGTTGTGCCCGAATCCGTCCAACACGGTTTTGGCCTGTCCTGGTGTCACGCGCGGTACTGTTCGTATTGAGCTATATGATCTACGAAAGACCACACTTATTACAGCCCACGAAGCTGAGTTGTCACAGGTGCGTAATTTCGAAATTCCGAAGCACCTAAAAATAACATTCTGCTTTCAGATTTGTTTGAATCTAGATGGCACACGTCTAGCAACGGCATCGGACAAGGGAACGCTTATTCGTATCTTCGACACCCAAAGTGGTCAAATCACACAGGAATTGCGGTAAGTGTAGCACGTGCAAGACTCCTTCTATCTCTATTGCTGATGTCCCTCGTTTTTATAGTCGTGGAGCGGATCGTGCCGAGATTTACAGCATCTGTTTTAGTCCGACTGCACCATTGCTTGCATGCTCAAGTGACAAGGGTACAGTGCACGTCTTCTCGCTGACTGCGGAAGGTTCTGGTCAAAGTTTCTCTTCCGAGCTTAACTCAATGGGAAACGTTCCGTCGCACACCATGCCGTCCCATTTTGCAGCTGGAAGTGCTCCTCGCAACGGAGAGGAAGATGGTACTGAGAATTCCAAGTCCAGGTACTGTTGGGCTGCCGATTGAATATGAATTTGATGTGGGCATTAATCTGTGCTCTGCGTTTAATTATTTACTTCTAGCTTGTCATTCATGCGAGGACTGCTTCCTAAATACTTCAGCTCAGAGTGGAGTTTCGCACAGTTTCGTGTGCCCGAGACTCGAACAATTTGCGCTTTCGGAATGGAAAAGAATACTATTGTTGGTAAGTGCAATAGACATCCAAGCTGATATCAACTGTATAACTTGTTTGTTCGCACTTTTCAGTCGTGGGAGCAGATGGGTCATTCTACAAAGCTGTATTTGATGCCAATGGCGAATGCCAAAACACGTCTTATTCCAAATTTATTCAGTCCGACGAAGACGAATAGACCTTTTTGTAATGGATATCAAAATTCTCTTAATCGGCCATGAACAAATAGCACGAGACTACCTACGCAGCTCTTGTATCAACCGTAATCATGATTCGCTTTAGTTAATTATACTTTTCAGGTTGTCAAGTATGCTTTTGGCGTTTATTCGTAACGTACTAAACGCAAAAGTTCTAATCGTCATTGAATGCACCGAAAGCAGCAAAGAAAATGATTGTACTGTTGTCTCAATCACCATGGATTGTGTACTTCTCGCGAACTACACTCGGATCATACTGTGAACAAAAATTCATCCAGCCTTGTCAAACGGCCTTAATGCCTTCAGCATTGGTAGCAGAAACACTTACCACTTCCCATCGACTGGCAGGAAAGATGTGCTTGTTTTTCTCGTACCAATACCGATCGACAACTTTACCTGGGTGCGACTACAAAACATGATAAACAACATTTGAATGAACAAGCGTGCCCCAAAATACAAACCTCGTCTTTTTGGATGCGCCGGTCCTGGACGAGGCGCACATCGTCGTGCACGTCAAAATGGAACAGTGGTCCACTTTTTCCTCGCGCTTTGGTTACGATCAAATCGTAAAAAGAGTAGTGCTAAGCAAACAGAGATTAGCTTAGACGAGCATCGCAGCTTTTAACATCACAATCTTCGCTTACATGAGGAATAATTAAGTCCTCTTTAACGTAGATCAGCTTCTCTGCACTGACACTGCGCAACTCGGCAAACTCTGGCACTAGCTGCTGCTTGACAAGCTCAAGGTATTTGCCAATTGTTGTTTTTTTCGGAACCTTTTAAGATATTTTGGTTTGGTAAGCACACCGATAAATCAATAACACGGTGTTTTCAAACTAACTGTGATCTCCCGACGGTGACCTGAGCCATCCCAGTAACTGTAGGTCACCGCAACACTCTCGTCTGCATCGCATCACTAATATGAGTGTTGGCAACGAAGAAAGAAACTCACGTACTTCTAATGCGCTCTTGCTCTTCTTCCCACTCTGCCCGAAGTTTTTCTCGCTCACGCGCCTCTTCCTTTTCGCGTTCCTTATCCGGCAAAAAATCCGTCTCAACGTTTGGATTTTTAATGCTCTTTTTAACTCGCTTAGGCGTCACTGATGTATCATGTTCGTCTTTGTCGTCATCAAGATCAAATGAGAGCGGCCCCATCACCTTGGTTTTTCGTCTCTTCTTCTTCTTTGCCTCTTTTTGCTGTTCGCCAAAACTATTGTGCCATCAACTAAATTTTCAAAGCTACAATATTTCATCTGCCAACTTCGCTACAATACGCACCGCACATCGTCATTATCTACATTTGAGCTTTTGCGGTTTTGCAGATCCTCGCGCTTCTTTCTAAACTCTTCCGCCGTCACTAGTCCTACCGTCTGGCGCTACGATAACATACGATGGGTGCTCAGTTTCACAGTAGAAAAAAAAGCAACACGTCTTGCCTTGAATTCGCTCTCGTCGTCGTCTTGATGCGATTGAAAATTGGCATCAATTAGCGTCCCACGACGATTGGTCTTCTCAATGTTTTGGACTTTTGCTTCGTATTCCTTTTGCTGTTCCTCGCGCTGTTTGGTCAAGTGCGCAGCCCTTGATCCGGCTGCGTTGCCTTCCACCGTGTGCGCACCCGATGATCCATAGCGCTTGATGCCTGTCATAGCGTCGCAGTTTCACTGTACTAAGTACGAATGCGACAGAGACTACAAAAATAAATATCGCAATGCTACGGAGACTAAAGACTTCGGATGCGTACGTATTCTCTCCTCTCAAGGCGCTTTGCCGCGTCACTTTAAATATTTGCGCTCTATCTTATATCCCTTTTATATGACTACTATCAGCTCGCAGCAGTCGGTAGATGATGCGCAAAGTCCCGGCGATCAGAGCAATGACGACGGCCCAATGTCGTCTCTGCAAAAGTATCGCTCGCAGACAATGAAGGACTATGGTCTCATGATCGAGTACAAGCATCTTCGTCAGCATGTACCCAGCGGTATTTACGTGCTGCCGAGCTTTGACCACTCGCGCATCTGGTATGGAGCCATCTTTATCCACGCCGGACTTTATCGCAACGGCATTTTCAAGTTTACTATCTTCTTGCCCGAAAGGTACTGCAAGAAAATTTGCTATTCAATCAGTTATTGCTGGTTCGCCTGACGCTGTGGTATTGCTGTTGCAGCTACAATGGACCAGGCACATATCCGCGTATTGTATTTAACACCAATATCTTTCATCCATATGTGTACGAAGACACAAAGGAGCTAGATTTAAAGCCTAAGTTTTTGGAGTGGGATCCAGAACTGCACTATATGGTAGCAGTACTGACCTACCTCAAGGGAATTTTTTACATGAAAGACTTTCCCGATATTCTCCAGGTTGCAAACGGTGTCGCCCTAGATATGTACGTTGACGTACAGATTTATGAAGTGATGAAAATTGAGGATTGCTCATGTGGTCTTGTATGCGCAGGTTTAGGCATGATCCCGAAAATTATGTTAATAAGGTGGAAGAATGTGTTGACGAGTCCCTCACCAACGTGTATAATAACGAGCAAGGTTCTACAATTCGTTTTACAAAGCACAACCCTGCTCATGACAATCTCCGGCAGGAGCTCTTCGCGCAGCTGGATGCATCCCTAGTAAGTCTCGATATGAACATATCGTGATGTGTACGACATGTAACTTTTTCTGGCGTCGCAGCCTGCAGTGCCACAAACACTTGAAGAGAAAATGGCTACTCCACCTGCATCTCGGTCGCTCTCCATTGTGACAGCTGCAGTAGCGGAAAGTTCTGCCGGCCACGCCACTGCGGCTACCGCGGCAGACGAACCAATGCCAGATGTCTGAGCATTAATTGAACAAGCATTGCACATAATATTTCATATAAATACTGAAACTGTGACAAATGGCAATTTTGTTAATTATCATTAAGCGTTGAAAATAGTAAATTAAAAAAGGAAACTTGATCTCTGAAAGGATGCCCGCAGCAGAGTCGAGTCATGCCGAGGAAGACGACGCGCGGCTGAACGAGCGCATATTAAAAGCGCGCTCAGAGCTTTCAGAGCTTCGCCAGATCATAGCCAAAGACGATCGAGACCGCTTGTTTCGCGAGAGTGATGGTCCCGCCTCACGAACTCGAAGTCGCAGTTCTCATGTACAGCAAGACGCCAAGCGATTGCCACCGAATGATGTTGGCTGCAAAACATTGCATACGCTGCACAGCTCAACAGGAAAGCGTCCTATACAACATCCGTGCTCGGAAGACACTGTGCGCTCGGATCGCATGCGTATGGCAGAACTGTCGGATGAGCAACTCACATGGCCATCCACCGATAATGAAGCATCAGCTCAAGGTTGTGATAAAATAAGCCCCACAAATCGAGTTGGAGCCAAGCTTTTGCCGCGTCAAACGATGGCTAAGGACTTGAGGGCTTTTTCTACGGATTACGTGCAACAGGCGCTAAGCTTTGACAATGTCACGGACGACGACGAAGATGAAGCTGTTTTACCCCCTCCAACAAATACCAAAAGTAAGGCACGGCTTACTCCTTTAGTGGATCATGAACTTGCCCGAAAATATAGAGGAACTAGGACGCCAGAGGATTTACAAACATATGTGCGGCAGATGGAAGAAACTATTGTTCAACTTGTGCAACAAAAGGATGAACTCCTCAGAAATCAATCAACTTTTGATCAGCAGGCAAGCGGTATCTTTCCATCACTCGAAAACTTGAATCATCAACTCTCTCAGATTGTACAGGGAAAGCTGCTGCAGTCAGGACAATTGCACAATAACGAAGATGTGGCTACTTTGCATGAAGACATGCTAGATGAACTGCGAGTTCAACGTGAACAACTGAGTGAACTTGAGGCAGATAGTAAACGTCGCAAGTATGATGCGGAGCTTCAAGAACAGGATCGCGCCATTGAGATTTCGCAGATAAAGGCGGATTTAATTAGTGTTGTCGCGAATGAAAAAATGCGTGATGAGCGTGCGGAGCTAATGGCTGACACGGTAAAGAAGCTCCAGCAGGAAATGCAAGAGGCTGTTAAGAATATGTCGCAGCGCTACCAATTGCTGGACAAAAGGGTTAATCAACTTCAGACTCCCATGACACAGCCCCGACTTGTGGTATGTGTATTGGTTACTTTTTTTTTCATGTACTGAATGTGTTCCTGAGCAGGGCCGCAAGTCACAACGAAGATTCTTATGTTTCGTTTCTTTTTCAGTATTAATGGGGCTTATTTCTCTCGCGATCGGTATGTTGATCATGAACAGCGGAGATTGCGGTGTAATCGAGCGATGCCACCCTCTCATCTGATGATTTAATAGAAATAGGAAAGTAGACATGCTACTCTCCTAGTTTTCACTATATGTCCATCTAATGAAGTTGTTTCACAATTAGCAACTCTATCTCTGCTTTACTTTAAAGATACGAATTCCGAGAATCGCGGCAAGCTCCGTTGACAAAAAGTAAATCATATGTACATAAGCCGACAAAGAAATCACAAAAAAGAGCTCCACAACTGAGCTTTCGTGTCCCTGTACGTTCAACAAAGTGATTAACCTGAAACAAACTATTGAAAATTCGCTAGATAAAACGTACCCATGGAACAATGCCAGCCACAAGCAGAAAGGATACAACAAGCTGAATCAAAAATGTCTTACGGAGCAGCCAATACGGCTCCTCGCACATGTGTGAAAGCATCATGTGCATCACCATCTGTCAATAAAGTCAATCAGAACAGATACCAACACAGAATAGCATCTTGATTAATGTCACCTTGGCGAAAACAAGCCCCACTGTCCAGATAAGGAGACGTGGGTGATCCGTGAACACATCAGACGGTGACCACAGCACCCAAAATGCAGACAATATAATAAGTGCAATGAAAGGTGTGATACCGAAGAGCGCGGCAGCGCCATCTTTTGCTTTCCGTTCCATAGAGCGAATAGCAATTACAGCTGTGCGAGCGATTATCACCAAACGAATGCGTTACCAACTGCTCAAGGCTAGTCGAATGATAACAAACTTACCACTTATGAAGCACTGGCCAATTGCACTTGTAATCGTAAATAAAACAAACACGTGGTTGTTTTTAAGCTGTGGAAATAAAGCATTTGGTTGCGTCCACATAGCAGGACCAAAGACAGCAGTGCCAAAGTAGATTGAATACATGACAAATAAACCCTCGTTCGGTCCGTTGACAACTGGAAGCGCCAACGTGCCTGTGTAGTACTCTTCCCAAGTCGCCATGAAGAAGACCATTGCAGGTGCCAGGAAAATCAATAGAGACTACAATCGCATAAGAACATTAAGCCTCGAAAGTAAATCCTTCAAAAATTTCAATCTTACCCAGTGAGTCGGTCCAAGCATGATCGTCGAAGCAAATGTGCATGAGCTTATAACCACATTAAGTGCATCACACCCATGGTCGAATAGCAGTCCAAGTGGCGACGAGTTTCCTGTCTTACGTGCTTGCTTACCATCTGCCACGTCTAAGATTTGGTATGATAACAGCGACAATCCTGCATAAGCGTAGACCCAGCGCGGCGCTTCTTCCATCATGTTTGGAGAATACCTAAATAGCCACAGACAGCTCAGTCACTTTTGTCTCCTCGTATCCAGTGCACTCCGTTCCACACTGACCAGAACATAGTTACGTGGGACAAGATGACAAGCGACAGTGCACCAATAGTAATTGCATTAGGTGCCAATCGCGGCGACAATACATGATCCACGAGCCACTGAGCCAGCGGAGAGATTATGTTGTTGTACAAAAGTGAAGCATCACTTCCACTATATCCATACTTTAAAACGTGCTTTACTCCCTCTTCTGTCACGTAGCGGTAGGTATGTAGAGTTGACTTTCTATTGCTATCAGTTGGCGCAGGCGTTGCAGCTACGGTGTTTTCCATTCCTATCACGTCCGGAAAGTTATGAAACCGTCCGTATTTTTGCCTTAAAGTTTTCCGATTTTAATACATACATGCGAATAAAAATCACAAAACACGCACTTCAAATATGTGAAGCGTGAATGCTGATGTTGTGTTTCTGCATGGCAAGTGCATCATAGAGGAAGTAGATGGAGTAGCTAATTTAAAATGTCGGTGCGTTTTAATGTACTCAGGGTCACAATGTAGCATTTGAAGAAAGCCGATTTACTGGGAAGTCTGTCTGACTTGCGCGTTGATGATCATCCTTGATTTTTCGGCATTTATGTGACTAATAAAGCGCTTTTGATATTGCAATTTCAAAGGTGTTGGTGCGGGAGCATTCTGTTTTCCACGAAAATTTAATTCTTCGCTTAGACTGCCATTTCAACTCCAGCTATTGTGTATTGGGTGGTCGGGGCTAACATATAAGGTACTACCGACAAAAGTGGCCAATTGCTACGTTCTGCAGAACGTAGCAATTTATTCAGTGGTTCTCCTGGAACTTTTACCGTGTGTACAACTAGTTGCTCTATTATTTTTGCCTGTGGTACCGTGGCCGAAAGATAGCCGAGATATTGCCGAACAATTGCGATTGTCGCTCCTTTTTCCGCTTTAGAATTACCTTGAGCCAAGTCAATTTCCCAGGGATATGTTGTACCTGTCGAAAGTTTTTGTACCGGGCACGTTAGCGATAGTATGTTTACTTGGTTCGAAGCACTTTCCGTTTTTTTTAAATTCAGCCAAGAAATGCATCCGCTGAAGATCTGTTGCTGCGCTTGTATAGCGAATGGCTTGCTTTGCCCATCATGATATGTCTCTTGCTGCCTTTGAAGTGTATGGTTATTGGATTTGAAAAGGCTAAAAGTGTAACGGTGGCATTGCCGTGTCGAAATACTTCATGTTTCACCATTTATGGTCGCCACAGGAAGTGCAGTGCTCATTTTATACTGTATTGCAAGCTCTGTCATTACTATCCAGTTAAACTGCGAATCATCACCACCTACACCAACATTATGGACTCACGTACGTTACGCAAGCTGTGCATGTACTGAAGGCCCCACTCGCAATGGCAAGACAAAAAAGCGCGTAAGCTCATGAGACACTAAGTAAATTTTATTCGTACCGTGGCCGTTGACCGATTTTAAATACATTCAAAGGTTCGCCTCACAGGCACTATAAAAGCCGTTTGGACCAGCGTACTTGCACTTATAATCTCAATTATCGACGATCCTACTAGAACAGATGTGATGAGGTACGAATTACAATTATTAATTGAAGCGTATCATTGACTCTGAATTCGTGCTGTGCAACTTCCGCAGTGCTGGCATATTGGAGCATTAGTAATCTCGGCAATAGCGGGGTTTTGGATACTTATCTCCAATTCTAAATATTTCTGGCATCAGCTCGCCTCGACTACGAAAATGGCTAGGAGCCCATTGTTCCTTACAGCGGCCACAAAAATCATAAAAAAGAAGCAAAGTGATTAATTCATTCCTCGACAAAAAAAAGAGGCAGCTACTATTTTCCGTAAAGTTATGCCGAATCGGCGATCTAGTGCGGCAGAAAGCTGCGGAGCATGGAAAGGTTTGCACTAGAAAAACTTGAGTAAAAATTTCGAAATTTTTTTTTGATCACTCTTTCAAATTATTGTGCACGTCGGATTGATTTTAGATTGCAATAATCGATAATCTGTTTCAGTATAGTTTGGCTCATTGGTATGATATGAGAGATTTGTCACCAGTCTTTACCTATAAATGTATAACCTATAATGCTGCCCAAAGTTAATATACATAAATACTTATCAGAACTAGAAGTTCCTTTCCAGCCAATAGGAAATACCCCTACGTCCTCTCTTACATTCGCGCTGGCTGCCCTGAATCTGTATACGAAAGTGTGGAAAGCTGCGTCCTGAGCTATACGAAGGGTTTCTATCAGCTATCCAAATTTGCTGAGGAATCGTACGGCAATCGTTAAAATTAATTTTTCGCGCGATGATGTGGATCGGGTGCTGCACAGGGGTCAACGCGCGAATGCTCTTTCTTACTGCTTGTAGTATGATCGAGTATATTGCGCATACAGTAGTGCTCGTGCTCGGTCCAATGTTGACGCTGCACTTTTATCCAGAGACGTCATTTCATCTTCTCGGCTTTTACACAGCCATCATTTCCGGCTCCGGCTTCCTAGGCCATGCGCTGAGTTGCGGCTTCTGGATTCATTTGGCAAGCTCACTCAAAAGTAGTAAGGGCGTAATATTATGGGGATTGGCGGTCACGGGAGCTGGTTTTTTCAGCTTACTGCTTTGTAAGAGCCTCCTGGCCATGGCAATCGTCCGGTTCGCGACTGGACTCTGTAGTGGTGTATTACCTGTGGCTCTAATCGAGATTGACAACATTTGCGGTAACAGGCAGACAAAATTGGCGCAATTTGCCAGGACGCTCGGTGTGGGTTTTGGAGCAATTGGAACCTTTGCGTTCATCAAGCTCAGTGCAAATTTGCCAGATAAAACAAACGAAGACCCTGTTGCGAGGGACTCGTCTATGTACTTTTATCCATTTTGTTTTGTATCGATCCTTGCATGGATTGCAGTCATGGTAATGCTCTTAGGGCTCCGTCTGCGTAGTCGAACAGCATACTCGCAGCTTGCAGAAGATGATGACGATATCTTAAACTTTATGCCACAGACCCAAAATGATCTGCAGTCGTCGCCGCGCTCATCGTCTAGCCTGAATACAAGCAGTACAAGCAGTAGCGAAAGTGGAAGTCCCATGGCCGCAGCTGTTGCCCATGTCAAGTCTGCTTTTGGAGAAACATTTAACCGGACCGCCATGGGTCTGGGATTAAAGAAAGCCATGGCATCACCGGCGAATTTGACTGCGATTAATCTTTTGGCGACCCCACAACCACATTTTCGTCTCATTCGAGGAATTTTACCTCATCATTTTCACGGGTACACTTCAGATGGTCATTTAATCGTCTGGGACTTTGTTGGTCGTGTCAAGATGGACAGACTGCACGCTGCGTGCTTCACGACAGCTGATTTACGTGACCATTACCGATTTTTTTTTGCATTCGCACAAGAAAAGTTTTTACGCACACCAAATCAAAAGATTGTCTATATTGTCGATTTAGATGGTCTTTCGCTTCGAGACGTTGATGCCCGAGCAGTTGATATAGCTTGTGCGATTGTGAAGACGCTACAGTTTGAATTTCCTGATCGCCTGCAAGCTCTGGCGGTTCTTAACGCGCCTGTTTGGTTTTCGCAGGTCATGACAGGTATTCGTCCTCATTTGGCGAAGCGTACTGCCGACAAAATATCGTTTCTGTCGAAGAAAACGGCCACACATGATTTGATTTCGCTTGTTGGAATTGATAGCTTGCCTCAACGCTATGGTGGACGTAATGGTGTTGAAATTAGTAAAAGTGCTCAGGAACGAGCTTTAGATGACTTGCTCAGACGAACTACAGCGTCGTTAGAGCGCACAATTGAGATTGTGGGTACTCCTCGATCAGGACGCGGAAATATGCCGCTATCTCGTGATGGCAGTGTCCGCAGTGATGAAGAGAGTGACGAAGAGGCATTCTTTGACTGCTCTGAGTATGGACTTCAGGGTGTGGAGGACTTGGAAGATCAGGAGCCTTTGGTCTCTGTTATTGTCCATTCTCATGAAAATTTGTCATCTAAAACTGAAACAATTAGTAGAATTAGCGCCGGGAGCTCTGGGGCGTATCAAGCGCTGGAGAAGAAGCCGATGCAAGCGACGATGGCAGCCGAAAATCTTGAACTTGCGATCACACGCGAGCCCCTGGCCTGTCTTGTGCTGCTGGTTTATTTTTTCTGGTTGCTAGTGCAACAAAGTTTCGATGAATTGATACCGCTTTGGTTTTTCTTGCAGAGTTCGATAAACCTGGGTGGTAGCGTTCATGCCGAACCGCCAATATCGCGCTCCACTGTATCGTCAATTACGCTAACCATTGCGGGCGCTCTGGCGTCTTTATCTCTGGTCGTTCTACTAGGTCAGATCGTGTCAAACATAATCTGCCGTTCTGCTCGCAATGTCATGACACCTCTCGCGACGCTTCGTCTTGGGTTGCTTCTTCAAATCCCAATTTTAATTAGCTTTCCGTTGATTCAAATATTTTTTGATGAGCCGCCTCTATCATGGATTGTTGTGGTCAGTGCTCTTGCAATGAAGCAACTTGTTGCTGGCGTGGCGTCGCATGGGATTATGACGCTTATCGACAATTCAATTGCTGTCAATCGACGTTTAGCAGTACACCGGTCAGCGCAGCGAGCTTGCTATGCGAGCCATTTCATCTCGAGTGGGGCTCCAGCGCTTTTCGCACTTTTAGCCTACTTTGAGCAAGTCTTCCCGTTTGACCAAAGTTTGCTGTGTTTGGTACAAGCCCTCGGATTGCTCTTTTTACTTATCTTCTCCGTTGCTATTCCAAGTCGATTGAATTTTCCTGTGCTGTTTAGCATGGGCAAGCGGTAAACAACACTTAGATTGAGTTAAGTATTTCCTCTGCGTTTATGTCAAACTTGGTCTTAGATGGTACTGTAATCGTACGAAGTATGAAAAAAGCAGGTTGCTAAAATCGATATCTACATTCTGGTCCTTCGCTTGAAATGGTATAATCGCAATGCGCTTTTCAGCGGCCTGTGATGACCCCGTTCTTAAAGTGCTTGCACTCTACGCTTAAAATGTACCTTCTTTTGTGGGTGTATACTTGGCCATACCTGAGCGTTGGTACTCAAAAAGCACGCCAATTAAGACAATGTTGAGTAAGACAAGCGGATAAAACTGCATGTAAAAGAGGACGTCCCAGTGGTAAATGGCCAAAAAGTATGCTGCGTAAACAGCTGTGATGTGAGCGCTGATGCCGAGAAACGACGCCACGCGCACAAGTCCGCCAAACTTCTGGCGGTAGATGTTATGGTATTCACTGGTGCATGACGCGAGCAACGCCTGACGGTCCATTTCCGCTTGAGAAGCAGCATCCGATGTAAAACTGGCCTGAATAGCCAGATACACCGAATAGATACCCAGCAGGATCGTATCCAAAGCGCATGCTGATTGTTCGCGTGCTGCACGATACTCGGCACGTACGCTAGCAACCGTTTCGCCATCACACTCGGACTGCGGGAGCGCATTCTCCATATACACGTTTTTGATCTTGTCGTAAATGATTGCGTGAAGCCAAAGGGACATGCCTGCCCAGAAGCAAAGGTGAAAGTAAATAATACTTCCACCATAGTGGTGCTGCATGACATCACCCATAACCCAAAAGTTTGGGGCGATGACTAGACCGTCCACAACGCCATCCAGAATTCGACCCGTGCGGGTGCCACGCTTGCACAGCCGTGCGACCTGTCCGTCCGTACAGTCTGAAACAATCCACGTAAACATGAGAGCTGAAGCCCCCAACAATGAATTTCGGGACTCCCATCCCAGAGGATAGTGAAACTCCGAGTCGTAAAGGCACAAGGCAGCACCCCAACCAAGAAATAGACCAAATATCGTAATTTGATTCGGGGTAATCACAAATGGCAGGTAGCTCACAATAACAGCAGGCACAGCCGCCAGTCGTCGATGCCAATAATAGTCGATCAGCTCCTCAACGTCGTACATTTTAGTGCACGTGGCATTATAATAGCGTTTAATTAACGACTCGTGCGATGTCTCTTTTGAAAATACAGAGGCAGCTGATGCCGAGCTCTTGTGTGCGAACTTTATTGTGTCTAATCTTCCGTCGTCACTGCTCGTTGGCGAGTTTGATAGCGAGCCGTTGCGGTACATCATACTCCTAGACGATGATTTGATTGTGGACCTGTGGGTATCTCTATTTGCGTTTACGTCTACTGTGGGCATCGATGTCTGCAACGCAGCTTCTGTTTATGCGGCGGCGTAAACTCGGAATGAAGCCAAGCCTCAATTTTACCGATGACGTGTCGCATAGAACGTACAGTATAGAGGGCTACAGGATTGTGAAGACTTTTACAATAATACAAGGTCAAGAATACTCATACTGTTATATCCAATCAGCTTGAAAATTAAAATTGATTAATTTTCGCGAGCTCAGCTGTCTAAGCGTCGCCTTAAATCAGAGATGCTTTGTACTCGATATTATGCAGGGCATTCTGCGTATATGGACCTCAAACATATCTCGGAATCCTAAATTTTACAGTACGAAATAAGGTGTGCTCAATGATTCATGAAGTCTGTCGTCGTCTGATTCAACCTGTCCGGCAATTTTCTTACGAAAGCGATAAAGCTTTAATGTATCAAGCAACTGCGCCGCAAGAAGACCAAACAAAGTTCACTTAAGTAATGTTTGGTTTAGATGCGCAAATTACAGGTAAAGCAAGTATTGTAGAGCCCAATCTCTGCAGATGTGCATCTATTTCTCTATCGACTGGCTGGCTGTATCGTATACCTTCGCTACCCAGTATCATAACTAAAAGGATCTGACTCTGCGACACTTCTTTTTGAGCAGATGCCCTCGAACATAAAAAATGTCTGCAATGACATAAGTAAATTATATATTTCTGTGCAAGTAGGATGTAGGATGCAACGTTGGACCCATATATGGATATGATTTATCAGTGAGTCAGTGAAATATTCAGTCAAATGCAAAGAAGCGTATAATGCTTCTCAATTCAGTATACCCAAGTCTAATGCTAGATAATTTTTTTGTGACATGATATGCATTGTAAGCGGAGTAAGTTACATTTGGTTTATATGATTGCGACGGTAAGCTTTATCGTAAACTTTAGTAACGAATGGTTAAGCGTCGCAGATATGTGCTTTAAGAAGATCCGCTGGAATGTGGCTCGTGCATCATCGACCGAATAAGTTTTGATGACACTGGGAGCTCCCGCTCAATTAAGGGGAAGAGAGAGATACTGCATACTTGTATAGCTTTGAGGAAGTTTCCATGCAGAATGTACTTCATCTGAAATCGCCGTATGTAAGTGGGTGATCCCCCTGATGCTTAAGAGAGCTATCAATCAATCGGTGTCTCGGTTTTATTACACCACTTCTACGTTGTTGTCTTTTTCCGAATAAATACCTGCATAAATTAAACGATGATTTTCGTTAGCGCTCTTCCAGATTCGTAAGCACTTGAATCATCATCGCACCATTCAGATGCTCCAAAGCAAGCATCAATGCCTGGGTTCCCAATCTACCGTGTCCTTGCGCCTACAAAACCACTAACCTCTAAGTTGTCCAACCAGTTTGATAAAATTGCTGATAAAAGGTACCTTTACAGCAACATAGAGCTGATGCGCCAGCGAAAGCCCAGGAAGCGATAACTCCATTCTGTCACAGGCAGAGGAACGCATTCTATCACTGTCATGAAAGTAAATCGCAACAAACTCAAATTTACCTTTCTGCCTCTTTCAATGCGATGCCCATGTCCTTTAAGAAATGCTCTACGAAAAAACCCGGATCAAAGTCTCGCTTCAGAATTCGCGGACCCATTTTACTGATCGACCAAGACCCTGCCACACCAGCACTGACAGCACGAATGGCTTCGTCCATGTCAAGACCACATTTTTTTGCGTACAAAAGACTTTCTACCACTCCAATCATACTAGTGGCAATCAGAATTTGGTTCATCATTTTTGTGTGTTGCCCTGCGCCAGCGGGTCCCATATGTTGAACGGACTTGCCCATTATACTAAGAAAAGGCATCGTGACATAGACGGATTCGAGATCGCCACCCACCATTATAGATAGTGTGGCGTCACGAGCGCTGACATCCCCTCCGGAAACAGGTGCATCAAGCGTTAGAACGCCCTTCAGTTTAGCCACATCATAGATTTTTTTCGCTAAGGCAGGTGAGCTGGTCGTCATGTCCACAATAATGCTTCCTGTCTTCATTCGCGAGAGCAAACCTGAGTCTGCGTCCAACACCACCGACTTTACATCCCTTGGATACCCCACCATAATAAAAACAATATCTACGGAAGTCAAAGAAAAGATATATTAGCATAAGAAGGATGTCAAAATAATTGTAGTCCTACCAACCTGAATTTTGAGCGACTTCAGCAGGAGATCCAGCCACTCTTGCTCCCATTTCCCGCAACCCATCGCACTTTGATAACGTTCGATTGTAAACAGTAATCTCATAGCCGTGATTCTGTGTAGTATAATAGTACATGCAGTCAGTCGATAAGGCGACTTTGCCGCTAAATTCTTAAAACGTACAATTAAATGTCCGCACATACTAGCACCCATAGTTCCCGTTCCAATCCAGCCCAGACTATTTTAAAAAATGAGCACGATTAACAGTACAATAAAAAATACAAACGTACCGAATCTTAGCACGAGGAATAGCGGACATAAGCTCGAGCCCTGAAGTTTGAAAAAGCGCTGCAACTGTTTTAAAAAAATTCAGACTTTGATAACCACACCAGACAACCGAGTTGAATATTAACTCACCGTTTGTCTTCAAAGTCTGATCTTCTAAATCTTGGTGTAAGGTGGTATCGATCGGTTGCTCAATTGATGCAGCCGAAGTAGTGGCAGGTACTGTGATAGCGTGCTCTTCCTTCAGCCGGTTTTGCGAATTCGGGAGCGTTAATTCATCATCAATCACTACACGACTCTCTGAGTACGACTTGAACAAGTGCTCGCTTAAACGGTGATTGTGTCTGTTAATTTGTGCCACGACACGGACAATATATTTACTCTTGCCCTGTCCGAGAAAATCGCCAGGCTTGCGTTCCGAGATACAAGCGCGAATCATAGCAGGACATCCCATGTAACGATAGTGCTGTCGAGGTCGCTTTCCTTTTCCACGAGGTTTCGTCTTCACTCCATGCGTACACAAGTAAAGCTTTTTGACAAATCCGACGCTCTCATCAATTGGCTCTTTCATGCTATTTCGCTTAGCAGCTCGACAATTGACAGCTTTTGCTGAGTCAGACGTCCGTAGTCTCATAGGCTGATGCGTGGTCTCGCAGTATTTGTCCATGGAGCGGTGAAAGTCGTCCCACGAGTCGAAGGACTGCTCTAATCCTACACACTGCACAAGTATCTGCCCTTCGTCGGCTGTCGGAAGCAAAGGTGCGTTCAATTCTTCAATTTCTTCATCTTCGTGCTCGTCCTCTTGCAGCTCTGCGTCTGCCTCCCGCTTGCCTAAAAAACTCGAAAAGGAGGGCGATGTCTGCTGTATCGACACATCTTTCTGCGTGGTTTCTTGAATATTGGATGCAATCATATCCAAACGTCTATTTGAAACTTTCGGAATTGCCGAGAAATCAGAGCTATCATCGAGAGACGTACTTCTGCGATGCCTCTCCTTGTCTTTGGAGTCCATAGCTTTTTTGCAAACACTCAAAATAAGGGGTTTTTGAATCAAAAAATGGGCGGGAAGGAAATAGGTTACATCTTTAGGTTTTTGACCCATAAGTTCATCTGTTCAAGTCTCCGTTGAAGAAATTGATCTCATCGAAACTGAAAGCGATGGCCGACGGTAATGCGTACAGTCGACGGCTGCGTAGCCACAGACACTCAGACTCGACATCTTCGGAGGATGAAGAGGAGTTACGATATGTTACAAGAAATAGTGGTCGGCGCTACGGGGTCTACACACCCGAGCCAGTGCAGCGCACGCTGAAGTTGCGTCCGGATGACGTCGAAGACGAAGACGAGGACAGCGATTTTGAGGGGATAGATGACTATAGTGTACCAATTTATCGAAGTACGACATATAGTCCTCCTCTAATACACGAGGAGAATGTGAATGAGTTTGACGATGGTGAGGAAGAGAGCGTTGATGAACACGAAACGTTTGAACACGAAACACAACGGTCTGAGCTCAAGAAACGAGCAGCAGGTGCTGCTGAGATTTTTAAAAGCTCTTACAACATAATTGATGTTTGGCAGAAAGCTATAAATCTTAAGATTTTTGGGATGCTGTCCAAATACTTCAGAAGATTGTGGCGCTTCGTGCTGCGCAATTCCTTTATGGCTGTGAATGTACTGTGGCTCCTGGCACCACTGTGCTGTTTTGTAATTGCTGTTACGGCTCCACAGTACATGACAACAGCTATCCAATATGTGGATATTTTGTCCTTGAAAGCTTTTGGTGTACGGGAAGGCGCTCAATTCGACAAAGGAACGATGCGCTCTGTTGTGCAGGAGATAGTCGATATGAAGCTTGTGGGTATTAACGAAGAGCTTGGGTTGTTACGTCAGACTGTGCGATCTCAAGAGCTGGAGATTAAAGCGTTGAAGCTGCTTCATGATACGTTGCGCCACGATCATGATGATCAATTTCGAATGTTAAGCATTGCAGAGCCTCATAGCTTGATTAATATTCATATTGATTCAGTTGTTGCCAAACACACGGAAGGATTGGTACGTTTTAAAAGTTGTGCTTTGATCTTTGTGCGCTTTTAAAATTCGTGGGTGTGGCATGCTGGCGCAGCGGGATGAGTTCACAAACACTACGCTACAGCTAGGACAAGACTTACAGACTGCAGCGAAGCAACAGTCGGATCTTTTTGCTGTTCTCAAGAAACAGAAAGACGAGATAGATGTACGTTTGAGAAAAAGAGTCAATAAATCACGTAGCGTAACATGCAAGTGTGGCCAATTGTTGTGCGATGTAGTTGGTACAAGACATGTTACAAAAATCAAGTTCGGGTCCAACTTCAGATGCTGCAAACGAAAATGCCCGCGTGATGTCAATGATAAACGAATTGAAGGACTGGCGTGAATCTTTTGAGCACAAGATGCAAGTTGAGATGCAGCGTAAAGTACACGAAATTGAAAGCCGGTTGTCAAGTGTGTTACAGGATGAGAAAAGCTCACTTTCATCTAGTGTCGATGCTTTTCGTGGTTTGGATGCTACTGATCCGGGTATACTTCGAGTAATAGAAGTTGCGGTTCAGGCTGTTGAGATTAAGAAAACTGGACGAGTGGACCACGCTGCTCTTGCTAATGGTGCATCCATCATTTATTCAGAACGGTACGCCCGCTGTGTTCAAATATAAAATTAAAAAAGTGCATTCTATTGACATTGCGGCTACGCCGTACAAGTGATCTTCTTTATCAGGAAGGATCTTCTCTTACGCAGTTGTTAAATCGAATTGTTGGCTTGAGCGTCTTTGAAAATGAAAAATTTACATCTCCTTCATTTCGTCGCGCCCCAAACTCAATCCTAGGACAGCTGTTGTCGTCCGGAGAGAATCCATGGTGGCTGTCGCGCCATAATGGTCGGCCTGAAACAGCCTTATCTGTATGTGCCGTTAGCATTTCAATATCATTAGCATTGAGTGATGACTCTTTGCATAGGAAACGATGGAAATAGGTAGTTGCTGGGGCATCGCCGGCTCGTCGGGCCGCCTTTCAGTGAAATTTGCGCAGCAGATTATTGCGGATGCAGTTACTATCGATCACATTCCCGCACAAATTGCTTCCGATTTCAGCTCTGCGCCATATCAATTTCGTATTTTGGTAAAGTACAATTCAGACAATAATGGTTGAAACGTGTACTAATACTTGGACATTGTAGGGCATAGCAGGTCATCCTCTGCGTGAAACTGTGGATCTTATATCGTTTGGAAACTTTTCCTATGCTAGCAAAGGACCGGCTAGCCAAAGCTTTAGGCTAACATCGCCTTTGGTAAGTTCTGTTTGATTTAATCTATATTGACCTTGACTGGCGTCCTTAATCACAGAGTCAGCGTTCTCCGATCGATGGTATTACCCTGGAAATCCTGTCAAATCATGGAAATGCTGAATACACCTGCCTTTATCGCTTCCGTGTTCATGGTCAGCTTGCGTAAGCAATAAGTATAACAAAAAGTCCACAGGATCATGAAAGCATTAATTTTACACAATTTACTTTATTTGAAGTTCAGAAAGCTCTCGTTCCAACATAGCTTTACGACAAAGATATCGAGGTAAATGTAGTAGCAATTGGTGTTTCTAGCTCAATGAAGAGCCTATTCGGATTGACTGGTGTAGTACAATGATTGACGGATGCAAACGCATGAACTCGATACGCCTTCGTACTTCTTATTTAGGTTTATCCACACCATCTTGCGTAATCCGCAAAATTGTGCGATCACATCATCTTGTCCGACCCACACTCTTGATACCAGGGCACGTGAAGCCCCATTTCACTCTCCCTCTTGAAGCGCAACTATGTCACACAATTTGACTCGGATGTTAATACAGCCGAAACATCTTTGAAGGAATTGTTTTGCAAGATTGTGAACACCTACAGTTGACGCCTCAAATGGGGCTCGCGTGTCTAAGATACCTCAACATTACCCGGATCTTCTTCACGCATTCTCTGCTAAATGAGCCCTGTGTCGAGAGCACGAAAGACACCCAGTCTCGCTGGTTCCGAGAACGCCCGCGGGTAGAGCTCCTGCACGCGGTGCAACTTCGGACAGTACGTCCGCGGCGTTAAGGGAAATTCAGCCCAAGCTCTAGGTAATCGAGTACCGCGTAGCACATTGTCAGTGACAAAACCGCACGACTCAAAACACAGATGCGATGTCTGCTCCCGACCGCGTTCCACGACCTCCACGGGCGATAAAATTACCTCGTCGAGGATTTAACGGAAGTTGACTACGAGTCGAATGCTCCGTTCCCAGGATGAAAAAAGAAGAGGGCGAGGTGCCCCTGCGGCACGATCTGAACCCCGCTCGATTCTTGCGGACGCCGTGCCCGATTTCCGACCTCTCGACTCCCGGGGAAGTGGAGTCATTACCAATACCCTTGACGGGGCATTGAAGCAGCAGCTGGATGCTGTCCGCAGGACGGCTCTCATGCGCGCGCATTCACGGTAAAATCTTAACTCTCGTCTGGAATACGGCTTTAGCTCGGTAAATCCGCTACAGAAGCGAAAGACGCGATCGTTGGGCATCTACATGATCTGGCCTCCGGCCACTACACAAGCTGAGCTTGAAAACAAAAGATCTTCGAGCCTGCTTCTTGGTTCATCAAGAAATGCTACGTACCGCACTCGACTTCGTGCTCAAAGAGGCTGCGGTCCTGTACCCGCGATTCGGGCGATTCCTGTGGTGCTCGCTCGTGGCAAAACCCCTGCAGATTACGAAGAGCTCTTTGAGGATGGGCGCGGCAGCACCGGACACCGGAAGCTTTCCTAGCTGTACAGTTTCCAGTTGAGCCACCTGGAGGTGGACACGCGCGTGGGACTCCATCTTCGGTTTGAGTTTGCCAAACTCAAGACGCATTGCCGACTTCCTTCGAATTGTCGCCTTGCGACGTATGAATTGACCCGTCACACTCCCGAACGAGCTCTATGGTCTCTCACACGGATGAGGCTGCGACCGCGGCGGCTTGGGCTATAACTATAGCTCAGCTCATGGTCCTTCGACTTACCTAGCTATTGCCAAGGAGCACGGGGTGTACGCCGCGGAACGTCATGATCCCTCTAATCATAAGCGACTACGACGTCGGGGCAGTCTTGCCAAAGTGGCACCTCAAAGCATACGAATTTTCGGAGTTTGTGTATCCTCGCCATTTCACAAAATACTGGGTTTGATCTTGGCGACGACGTCAACCCGCAAGACGTTCCACGTGATAGTGTACACCACCATTTTTGTCGAGAAGAGTCGGCGGCGGACGATGACAACCGGGTCGATCGCTGTCCGGTAATTTGCGATGCTCTTCGAGATCTCTAGGACGGGGATTGTCGCGATCGGGACTCCGCTGAGCGTCATGCTGGGTTGCATACCGCTGCGCAGAATTAGCCATTGAGCAGAAAAATGCGTCGCTTCATACGAAGATGGAGCACTTGGTGCCGTTGGAGATGATTATCGTTGCACTCCGTGTTCGAAAACAGTTGCTGGTCTAGCTTTTGGTGTTCTAGTGTCATTTACTTGCGCCGGATCTCGGAACGGCTTAAGCGCCCCCATAAAACGCCGGGTGGGTGCGCATCCGTTTCGAAAGATTTAGCGTATCCGTAAGGCCCCACTCGGCTGTAACCTTAAAAGGTTCGATAAACCGTGGACGAAACTTCGTCGTCTTAAAGACAGCAGAAATTACATGGGTAGAAAGGTTTTTTGCATTTAATAAAACCTGGTCTATGACCCCAAATTTTTTAACATTTCTTTTGCTTGTTCTGTCTGCAAATTCTTTATGCATGTCCTGGCTTTCTACCATCTCAAGCCGAACGTGTCGTAAGACACTCAGTCTGGTAGACATGAAACCGCTAACTTCTTTACGAACAGCGAGGGACTGACATCAGCTAGCTGCTCGGCTATTCTCCCCCACCAAGCCCTGAGCCATGTGGTGGCGGCGGCAGCGGGACGCGAAGATGGACGAGCCCGTTCACAAAGAACGGTGTGTAGCCGGTAGATGAATGTACTACTTTGTTCAGAGAGAAATCTACGAGTGGCGACATGGTCCTCCAGCGTCTCGGTGTCTCGGCGCAGACGTTTCGAAAGACTTCCTCGACGACTCGATTCACGCACTTAGTTTGACCATCAGTCTACCGATGGTCCGCTGATGACATATTCAGTTTGGTGTCCAGCACCCGAAAGATCGTCGACTAAAACTTTCCAGTGAACCGTGGGTCTAGGTCATAGACAATTGACTCCGGGAGTCTAACTTACAATCCATCAACAGCGTCGCTGTACCCACACCGTGGATGGTGTTCGGCACCGCCGCATGATGAACCATCTTGCTCAAACGGTCGACGAAAACCACGAAACCGGTGTTGCCTGCCGATTCCTTCGGCAGGCCAAGCACAATGTCTAAATTCATGGACTGACAAATCCGGAGGGTTCCGACCCGCATTCGTAGAGGGTTTCACTCGTTAACACATCTCACACGTGCGCACATAGCTGCTCGTTCATTTGTATCGCTTGGGTACCAGTAGTGGGAACTGACAGAGCTGTAGGTCTTACCCATCGAGCCGGTGCTATAATACAGCAATCCGTTATCCAGCGAATATGGTGCGACAACATCGTTTTGCCCGAGTTCCTAAATTGGCCTGTAGCACCGCTACGCACATACATATCAACCGCGTTTGCGGCGCGGATCAAATGAGCAAGCTTATAATCTGGTCTGCGTCACAATGCATCAGCCAAACTTTCTACTTTCCTGGCTTATACTTCGCCTCAAAGTTATATTCTGCAAATAATGAGAGCCACCTGGCCATCCTCTGCGATAGATGGGGCGACTGAGTCACAGTGCGTAGTGACGCATGATCTGTGTAGATCACGAACGTGTTTTAGCCGAGCAGGTGAACCCTGAACTTAACAAGTTTATACTTAATTGCAAGATATTCCTTGGCTTGAGCTGGGCAGCTCTTCTCTGCAGCCTTGAGCTGGCGAGATTTGAACGCAATCCCCCGATCTCGCCCCTCGGCGTCTGCTTGTAGCAGCGGTAAAGTCTGAAGCGTCACAGACAACACTGAAAGGGCTACCAGGGTCCGGCAACGCCGGTATTGGTGCATGAAGAAGGCCGTCTTTGACAACGTCAAAAGCCTTTCGATACTCGGTGTCCCAACACCATCCCGCATCCTTAAGAAGATTCGAGAATGGCCGTGCTATCTCTGCATGATCCTTGCTGTAATTGTGCAAGCAGTTGGCGAGGCCAAGCCGCTTACGCAAGTCCTTTTAGATCTTTGGAGCCGGCTAGTCCACAATGGCATTGACCTTAGCTGGATCCGCTCGAAGGCCTCGCTATCCGATAAAGCACCCTAAAAAGGTGACCTCTTCTGTGCCGAAGTTGCATCTGTCTACAGCTTATTCGCTCGTATGCACTCGAGAACCGCTCTTAAATTAACGATGAGGTTCTTTTCATCTGTTCTACTGGGCTCCGCATGTCTGTTCACGAAGATGTCGTCGAAGTATGTCTGTGCAAATGCCCGGTGGGGCCTAAAGAACTGCGTCACAAGACAACTAAATGCTGCTGGTGCATTTGACAGCCCTTGGGGAATCACCAGCCACTTCCGATGCATCGCGATCGGAGTTTTCATTGCTACCTTTCATGAGCATTTGGTAATACCCATCCAGCAAGTCGCAACCACATTGCTCTGGATAACATCTATTCTGGGATTTAGTGTCTGTGCCGGAATGGTGGCAGCGTTGAGCTTATTGTAAGCATGAAGATGCGCCACTTGCGCTTCGGCTTCCACATGCAAAACGTGGGAGAGACTTGCTCTCACGCACCATTCCTGCGTCGTGATTCGCACGGAAGAAGGCGTTGATGATATCACACTGCTCCTTGTGCAGAGACTATTTGTGTGTTACGCAGTATTTGGTTGCGGGAACCAGTTCGATCTCATGACGCACATCTTGTTTCTGAGGAAGGACCGACGCGGGTCTCTGGAGACTTGAAATATCTTTACCAAAGGATAGTACGGATCCGAGGGATTCGTCAGGATCAAAGATCCACTTCGTGCGCTCAGCGCCCTCTTGTTGCCCTCCATACCAGTATCTTCCTGGAGCGACGTCGAGTTCATCTCCTCTCCCGGTCGTGTAATAACTACTCCGGCTAAATCGCCTGACCGCCGAACTCTTCTAGGGGCATCTCGTCCAGCTGAAGAAGATAACCCACCGCGGAAATAGCCACGAGGCTGACGTCGCCATCTTCCTCTCGTCATACCGTTGACGATGGTGTATAAATATGCGCCATCGTCTACGCTAGACACACTCTGGATCAGGGTCGACGCCCAGGGTCCTGCAACCAGCATACGGCGTCGCCGTCGCCTCTGTGCAGAGGGGATATGTCTCGGTGATACCAGGGTGAACACGCACTCCGCGTCGTCCGGTGTCACCCTCACTGTCCGCCCCTTTGGAGTACCGATGTTATCTACAACATTCGACGAAGAGCTGCTATCCCGCAGTCTTCGTCCAGTAAATAACGTGCCACTCCACGCGCATCTGAAGGGCCGCACCCAAGATGCATCGGACTCTGTCCGACCACGCCATCAATGGCATGCAGCGACTGCTTCGCAACAAGAGCACTATCTAGTGGTTTTCGTGCCACTTCACATGCATCAAGGGGTCCTCGCCCTCGATACCTCGGCCCTTGGTCGACCATGTCACGCATGACATGCAGCGACTGCTTCAAAACTTGAGCAGCGCTTAGTGGGTTACGTGCCACTCTACGATCAGTCCACGAGCCACGCTCGGGACTCCTGTCCGACACACCGTTGGTGTCTACCAACTCGGACATTTCAATGTCCAGCATGTTGACCACCTCGGCCCAGTGCTCTCGCCAATAGCGCTTTTGTCTCCTAGCAGAGGTGGGTTCATGACACATCAAAGCTCCACCAGGAGACGTGCACGTAGCTCCCAAAGTATTTGACCTCCAATCAATCCATAGCTCATGGTGTTCCAGCCATGCCATTCCTAGGATGACGTTATAACTTGCATCCAAGTCTAAGACTAGACAGCGTTCCACGCTATCAAGGTCAAGGAACTTGACTCCGAAGTCCACAGGGACCTTCGGGGCCGTGACAAGTGTCCCCATCGCGAGGCGAACAGTGACGATGTCACCCAACCACGCTTTTAGCGCCTCAGCATACAGCTGTATTTCTTCCATCGTGGAGCGTCGGGAATTGATGAGGATCTTCCATGGCTTCTCAAAGCCCTTTACGGTCGCCTCCTCGACCAGCAAGCCCGGCTTGCATACACGTTCCGTGTTCAAAAGCATGGAGCTATTTGGGCTGAGCCCTGTTACACTTCCTCCTTGAAGCTCAACAGAACACAATTCTTCCCCAGTAAGTCGCCCCGCACCTACTGGGTGGTGTCGTTTCCCCGCGACGAAACAGACTGGTAGACATTGGGGCGATGGTTCGTAGAACCTTGACGCGCCATGCGCAGGGAACAACCGTGCCGATGGTGACGGGTGTCTCCACAGACAAAGCACCGACGTATGTTTGTGTGCTGCCCGGCAGCTCGGACCTCTCCTCCCTTGTCCTCAGCATAGCTGAGATCCATGACCCGCTCGACGAGCTGTTGGAGTGTGCATTCCAACCAAGTCGTGCCGACTTGAAATTAAATTCAGCATTCAATGCCACATTCACCGCCCGTTTAAATAAAAATGGATGCAAACGGAAGACTTCCATTCTGGCCACGCCAGTGCGGAGGCCTTCCATAAAGACGGTCACTATGACCGCCTCCGGAAGGGGAGCTGCTGCCATCCCGGCAATGAGAGTGCGCATCTCTTGGACAGAGTTCACCAATTCCTTGTTGCCCTGTCGGGCGGCAAGGAAACGCGATCACACGCGATATGCCTGAGTAGGCGGCGAGAACACTCGTGAGAGCTGCAATTTCAGCTCCGCCCAGGAGGGAAACGC